GTTAAAATGCCTTATTAAACAATATTTTCATGATATTCAGAAAAAAAAATTCACATTTTCTAAGTCATTCCCGTCCCCTACTCCCTTACCCTTAGGGTGTTACACCATCAAGTTTTTGAAAAGGAACCAACTTTGGTGAGCTAGCTAGTGCGGTGAACCGAGTCGAGTCAAGCCTAGGTGAGACTAGGGTCACATATGTCCAATTAACATCCCTATTTACCCTTGGGTGGACCCCTTTCCTTTGCCACCAAGAAAGTTCATAATCTCAAGTTGGTTGTAAATAAAATAAAATAAATAATTAACTTTTAAGGGTTCTAATTATTCCTCTTACAAGGTTGACTTTTTAGGATAGAGTTCATGACCCGTTATAACATGATATACAGTGTTTTATTGATCGCTATCGATAAATATTATAGGGTGGCGATAGGAAATACTTTGGCATTCAATCAGGATATCTAAGATAACAAGTTTTGCCAGTTTGATATTGTCAAGAATTCTGGACTATTGCACTGAAACATGTTAATATATATATATTTTTTTTATAATTATCACAATTTTTGTAATATATTGTATTTATCTCTTGTACTATTCAGTTGTGTAAGTAGTGATGTTCAACTAGATTACGTGTATACAAATACAATGGTGATTGATTAATAGACTTGTGCGGTTGATTTCTCGAAAAGCACTTAGTAATATTGTATGAAAGCAAATGTTAAATAAAATAAAATAAATAATTAACATTTTTAAGGGTTCTAGTTATCCTTCTAACAAGGTTGATTTTTTAATATAGATTTAATGACACGATTTAATATGGTATAAAGATCAATAAGAGTATAGTGCTTTAGTGACCACGATCGATAAATATTATAGGGTGGCGATAGGAAATACGTTTGACATTCAATCAGGATATCTAAGATAACAAGTTTCATCAATTTGATACTGTCAAGAATTCTAGACTATTGCACTGTAACATGTTCATATTTTTTATTGTAATTATCATATTGTATTTATCTCTTGTACTAATTAGTCGTGTAAGTAGTGATGTTCAACTAGAATACTTGTATATAAATACAATGGTGAATGATTAATAGACTTGTGTGGTTGATTTCTCGAAAAGCATTTAGGCTATGTTTGATAGCATCCATTTTCTAGAGAAGTTGGAAAGCTTTTCCATTTTTCACTTTTTGCATTGTTTGATAGGACTATTTTTCAGGCAAAATTTTTTCCACCCACCTTTGCCACGTGCCTACTTTCCTTGGATTGTGGGAA